CACAATGGCTGAGTTGTTGTACGCCATTGTTGTAGGCCATAATGGCTAAGTTGTTGTACGCCATAATGGTTGAGTTGTTGTAGGCCGAAAGGCTGAGCTGTTGATCACTAAGGCTAGAGGAAATGTTTTTCAAAACTTCCTCATCCCATTGTGTGGATTGAGTGGCTGTGGTGCTCTTGGAGCCCAATTTGTTGAAAACCCTCCCTGGGAAGCTGACCCTTGGAGTGGTAACTTGCTGTTCTCCTCTAAGTCTTAGTGGTCCCGTGTGTGGGTAAGGTCGAGGCACACGTGTACAAAGCGACCACGGTATAGGGGCCAGGTCGAGCTATACCGATTACAAGCGACCAATACTAACTTATATGCGTGACGACGCATTGTGTGTTTACTGTTGTTATTGCTGAATGATGTGAGATGTGTGCTGATATATATATATATTAAGCTGATGTTGTTAAGCTGGTTGATGTGCTTATAGTTGTATCTGTTTACCATTCATATATTTATATATGTATGTTGTTTCTTTTCACTAGCTTACCCTTTGTTGTTTCCATGTGGTTTGGACTGCGATGATCATACTATGTATGGGAGCAGAGCAAGGATAGGTTGGTGGCTAGTGGTGAGTCTGCAGCTGGCAGGCGGAGTTGATCCTTGTTGATGTTTTGTTGTTTCAGCTACTTTGTGTAGTAGCTTTGGATGTATTTTTGTACATTTTGAATCTAGTCAGACTTGGACCATGTATATATGTATATTCTAGACACTTTATGTATACACTTGTTCCTTTCTGTCCGGTTTTCAGGTGTACTGTGTAGTGTGTAGTGACCAGCTGGGTCGTTACATTCAACACACAACTTCAATTCCCCTTCAATTGGAGAATTTGTTGGTTTACATGTTGTCATCCCAATTTCTTTCAACAAATCCAATGCGTACTTTTGCTGAGACAAAAAAAATGTCTGACTTTGATCATAAGACCTCAATTCCAAAAACGTACTTCAAAGGTACAAGATCCTTCATCTTGAATTCCTTTGCCAAATATTCTTTCAACACCTTGTGTTCCTCTAGATCGTCTCCCATTACTACCATGTCTTTAACATAAACAATAAGAATTATAATCTTTCTTTCTTTTTTCTTTAGAAATGGGGTATGATCTTGGTTGCTTTATCAATGCTCAAACACAATCATTGACTTGGTGAATCTACCAAACCATGCTCGTCGCGATTGCTTTAGTTCATATAATGACTTCTTCAGCCTGCATACCTTATTTCTATGTATTCTAGATCATACATCCTTCTGGTAGTTCCATATAAACTTCTTCAAACAATTCTTTGTGTAAGAAGAAGGCATTTTTTACATCAAATTGTTGTAAGGGCCAATCAAGGTTAGCTATAGACAATAAAACTCGAACTGTGCTAATTTTTGCTACAAGAGCAAACATTTCAGTATTATCTACTCCATATGCTTGTGTATACAGCTCTACCACTAATCTAGTTTTGAATCTCTCAATTGTACCATTTGCATTAAATTTTACTATGTACACCCATTGACATCCTACTGGTTTCTTTCTAACTAGATAATCCATCGATTCCCACATTTCATTTCTTTGTAAAGATCCATCTCCTTATTCATAACATCCTTCCACCTTGAGTCAACTAAAGCTTCCTGCACACTGTTAGGAATAGACACACTAGATAGTTGACTTATAAATGCGCTATTTGAGCTAGACATATTTTGGTTAGAAATGTAATTGTTCAAAAGGTATTTGGTCTTACTAGTGAGGTCAAGATCATAAGTAGGCTTAGGGATACCTCTAGTGACACGATCTGGTAGGATTCTTCTAACTGTATTTAGTTCTTGTCAGGATAACTAGTGTGGTATATTGTCAATATTAACTAAAAAGCTTTCAATCTTACATGTTCAATCCTTCATAATGTACCTTTTCCTCATTATGTGGTTGTTGATTGCGAGATTGTTGCATACTATTATCTTTTCTTGGTACAACTTTGTAACTTCATTTCTCCAATCTGACCTTAATATTAAATTCTTGAGGGACAAGAGTCTAAATTTCATCACAATTCTCCCCTTGAATTTCAGACTCAGGTGAAAACTACATCAATGTCTCATGAAAAATTACATTTATAGTAGTGAACATTCACTTGGTTCGTGGATGGTAGCACCGGTATCCTTTCTGATGAGTCGCATAGCCAGGAAACACATGTTTTTCAGCTCTAGGAGACAACTTATGTAATGCGTGTGTAAGTGAATATAAGCGACACAACCAAAAGCTTTGTGTGTTAATTCAATAATTCTAGGACTTACTACTACATCCATAAGTGATTGAAAAGGTGTTTTATACTCAAGAGATCTGAACGGTGTTTGGTTGATAGTGTATATTGCATATGCGAGAGCTTCTCCATAATATATTGCTGACATGTGAGCTCCAATTAGTGTAACTCAGACCACCTCAAATAGATGACGATTCTTTCATTTTGCCACGCTGCTTTCTTGTGGAGTATTTGGGCAAGACCTCTAATGAATAATTCCATTAGCTATTAGAAAATTTTGAAGTTATGATTGCATATACTCTCATCCATTGTCTCTACGCAATACCTGAACTTGCACTTTGTACTGAGTTTCAATCATTTTGCAAAATTTTGGTATATAGAAATTTTTGGTATGCTTAAAAGTCTCACATCGCTTAAAAATCAAGACTAAAGATAGTTTATAAACAACCTCCCTCTTTAATCCATTGAGACACCTTTTTTAGGACAAAATCATGACAGCCTAATGAATACTAAAGCAGATAATACCTCAAATGTGGTGGCCCTAATGATGTCAACTGACTTACAATCATAAGACGCACACACACATATATACACACATATAAGGAGGGAGCAAATTTCTCTAAGAGTGACTCTTGATAAAGTTGTTCCACTCAGTAACTCATGATATATATTCAATTTCAACAACCCAATTTTTAAATTAAAAGTTCTTACTTTATGTATCAAGTTTACCAATTTTTAAAAAAATTGAAAATCATATAATACTTCATTATATAGATTCAAATTAATATATTAAATATTTTTATAATTATCCATCAATTTGAATTTATGAAATGAAGAATTAAATAGTTTTAAAAATTTTAAAAAACTTATAGACTTGATCTATAAATTAAAAAAATTTAATTTAATGGTTAAATTGTTGAAATTCAATGTACACTATAAGCTATTGAGTGAAGTAATTTTATCAAAAATTACTTTTTGAGAAATTTTACTCGTCGCATGCCCTGCAAAGGTGGCACAACATTGGTTAAGTCCCTTCGTTCTTACTAGCTAGGATTTGGAATCAAGTCTAACTTCCCTTATGTTTTATATTGTTCTATATGGACTTGTATTCAAAATGGAGAAGGCAACTGGTAATCCATCATAAATTCTCAAAAGGATTGATGGTTGGCTTTTATAATGATATGTCATGCTCCCTATACTTAACGGTTCAACTACTACCAATAGAAAAATATAAACAACTACCTAATGTTAACATACAAGCAGTTCTTGGAAAGCACATGTGACAATATAGATATATGCATAAGGATAAAATCAACTAAAATAGTGAATGTTTCTCAACTAGAATGACCTATCTTGTACACATATATGTATATACAATCATCCAAAAGAAACAATTGTAATGTAACCTAGGTTGTCGATCAAGCAACACTACAACATATATACAAAGATAACATCAAGCTACACCATCATCCAACATGGCTCTCGACTCTGCAAACACCTCTAGCCTATCGTTGTTCTATTCCCATGTAAACATGATCATTATTGTAGTCCAATCTCTAGAAAAAATACATGGGTAATCTAGTATTCAAAAGAATAAACATATATAAATATAAAAGTACAACAACTATATTACAACATCAACATGTAAACTATACAACACAACAACAACATGGCTTACAACTAGCACCTCAACATGGTATTCAGCACCTTAAAAAGGTAACATATGAACAAAAACACAACCACACATCATATGTATACACTTCAACTACATATGTTGTCATGCATTCACCTACAAAGATCTCCTATAATAAAAGTGTGTAGTCTAAGTGACTTGTATCTTATTCAATTTGATCACTTTACACATGTATGGCTCGACTTGGCCCTCATACAAATAAACAATGATTACCCCTATATTGTGGTCACTGATATACAATATGCCTCGACCATGCCCACATATTATATCAACTAAGGATTTAGAGAAGACTAAACTATCCACTTCAAGAGTCAACTACTCAATATAGGTTTTTAATAACTGTGCTTGAACAGCACCACAACAATATCCTTACAATAGAATATTCTAAAACACCTTCTCCTCTAATCCTAAGTCGATCACAACACACCCTAATGCCTAAATTCCTTGAGCACTTTGAGTATCATCACCTCAATAGTTCAACAATTAATCATCTATATACATTATGCCAAATCAATCTATATAGAACCAACATTATTCAACCCATTCAAAAATTTAATCATTAATACACATTATCACAAATCAATTTATATTTAACCAACACCATTCAACACTTTAATCATCAATATATTATATCCCAAATCAATGTATATAGTACCAACATCATATATCAACATACAATATATAATAGATTCAACTAACTTATAGATATTCACTATTTTCTCAACCAAACAACATATTATTACAAGGAACTTCACTCCTAGTGCCATTCACCTCACACCCAACGTCATTGAGACAAGAAGCTCTTTGTCTCACCCACGCTCAATGTCATTCAAACTACAATCGACGTTGGTGAAGTCAATGAACGCCTGGGTCAATCTTGCCTAGCGTGGCTAAATCCACGCCCAACCCCATTTCAAGTAAAAAAGATTCTCTCTCCTCACGCCCAATGTCACTCTATTGGCGTCCGATGTTAATCAAGAAGAGAACTCTATTTTGGTCATGCTGAGCTCCATATATTTTGGGACCCGACATCACCAAATCTGAGACAATTCTCTCATCTCACACTCGATGTTATTCAACCCACGTCCAGCGTGACCAAGTCCAAGACTTTTCTCTCTCCTCATGCCTGATGTCACCAATCCTATGCCCAGCACAAGTGAGACCAAGGGCCCCTGATTTGAGTATGCTCGACACCATGAAGGTGCACCTAACGTGATAGTGAAATTTGCACATAGCAATTTCACAAATTTGGCCCAAGCCGCCTTAAATTCAAAAAATTCCAAGGATGCAACGCATAATGATGTACATAGGCACCTCAGATAACTCAATCCCTACCTCAAAATCAATATGCAACCAAAATCATTCAAGTTTACCAATTTCTCCTCTTTGAAAACTAAGAACACCAAACCACAACAACCAAACATCAACCTCATGCAATTTCGACAACATAATTACAAATCATTCATGCATAGCAACTCAACATTCAACAACCATTTAGGTTCTAGCTTCACTTACCTAAAGACAATTCAAAAAAGAGGAAGAGGAAGAAGAAAATGATTTCAGGCTCCTCCGAGAAACATCGCACGACTCAACACTTTGATTCATGGTTCTACTAACATGAATCAACAATCATAGTTATTGAATGCTTTGAGAAACATTCGCCCTTTAAAGAGAAGGTTCAAAAATGAAGAGAAATTTACAAACTTCAAATCACTTTTTTTCTAGACTATCCCTCTAAGGTTTGCTAAGAATGAATTATGAAATTTAAGTCTTAAAAGAATGATTTCCTTGAATTCATGCCTTACCCCAATTTAAACTTTTTTTATTGTAACCAAAAAATATAAAGTGTTACATCCATCATTAACAAATAAGTTTATCCTTTAATTAAATATGTATATAGGAAAAACATATATTAAAAAAAGTTAATCTTTTAAATAAATCTCAATCTTGTTAAATTAGTCATCGATTATTGGTTAAGAATTATTACTTTGATAAAATATATATATATATATATATATATATATATATAAAAGGAAGGATCCACTAACTTCAAGAGTAAGTCTATCTAGATTTACTCTACTTAATAACTCATGTTTCACATCAAATTTCAATAATTTAACCGTTGAATTAAAAGTTATTAATACATAAATCAAGTATCCAATTTTTTAAAAAAATAATTGAAAATTCTTTGATACTTTGTATCATTAATTCAAATTGATAGATAATCATAAAAATATTTTATACGTTGATTTGAATTAATAAAATATGTATCAAATAGTTTTCAAATTTTTTTAAAAATTTGTAGATTTAATCTATGCATTAAGAACTTTTAATTTAACAATTGAATTGTTCTTCATATTTGTTTGTTAAATTTAGACTAAATTATATTTTTAGTTTATTTATTTATTTTTAGAATTTAATTTAGTCTCATTATTTTTAAAATATTCAATTTTATACTTTAATTTTTTAAAAATGTTCAATATTATCATTTTGTTCAAATTAACAATAATGACGTTAATAAAATTAGGTGAAATGACAATATTAAACATTTTTAAAATTAGAAAATTAAATTGAAAATTTTAAAAATAGTGGGATCAAATTGGACATTTTAAATGATCCAATTTAATCATCTAATTTTCAAATAATATCTAATGTTATTCTTCCATTAGATTTCATTAACACTATTAGTGTCAATTTGGACGAAATGATAACGTTAAACATTTTTAAAAAATAATTAAATTTTAAAAATAAATAGAGAATATAAAATTTTATTATTTAGCCTAAAATTTATAGTCTAATACCCATGTGTTGTATTGTGTCGTAATTTTATGTTAAAAGAAGGGGGAAAAAACATCGTACTTGAATAAAACATTAAAACATGTCACCTATATAGCTAAAAGATTCCATAAATTTCAAATCATACTTATCTAGATAAGAACATCTCTGTGAAGTTAAACAAAATGCAAAAGCTATATTTTGCGGGTAACTTTTCTGATGGACCACTAGCACAAGTGGTCCATGGGTGCACCATGAATTTTGACCCTTAGATACATCTAAACTAATAGACCATTATACACCTTATCATATTAGATCCAAATTTCTGAATATTTTACTGAAATTATTTTTTTTAAAATTAACCAAAAAAAAAGCACGTGTTACGATGCACTGACGCAGCTGCTATTCACTTTCGGAACGGGTCGTTCTGAAATCAGAACGGGTCGTTCTAGATGAAAAAATAACACATGCATAATGGATTAAAACGGGTCGTTCCAGATTAAAAAAAAAAAAACAAATGGCGAATGGATCAGAACGGCTCGTTCCAAAATCAGAACGGTCCGTTTCAGATTAAAAAATAACACATGACTAATTAAACCAGAACGGGCCGTTCTGAATTCGGAACGGGCCGCTCTAACTATTTTTTTAAGCAAAATAATATTATTTTTTTTTCATTCTACTAAATTAAATTTAAAATTTAAGTATAGTTTTTCAATTGATAATGTTTTTCTATTACAATTAGAGGTTTACATTAATTATATGCGTAAATTTCTAATTCTAATTAAAAAATAACACCAAACAAAATTTTCTATTATAAATATAATTTTCTATCATTTAAATCATTGCAAAAATTTGTTAGTTTTATTTTTATATCTCGACATTTTCCTCTTAAAAAATGATGTTGCAAAATATTTTTAAATTTGATTTACATTAGTTTAATTGCTTTTAAGGTGCATAGATTTTTGTTGTTTTGTTGTCAATGCCACAAATATTAGGCGTTGATTAAATGTCACCTTCCTCAATGACATCAAGCATCCTATGAATGAAGCCCAAACTAGGCCTAATAAGCTTAAAATCCAAACAATCTTATACTTAGACCCATAATACAAGACCAAACAATATAAACTCTTATACTACCAAAAATATGAGAAAGGTGGTCATCCATGTAAAGCCCAAGTAAAGAGAACCCTAGGCCCACTAAACTCATTGGGCTCGCTGAGCTCAGAAGCAGTGAAGTTGAGTTGTATGTATGTCGATAAGTTGAGCTGTATGTTGATAAGTTGAGTTGTATGTTGATAAGTTGAGTTGTATGTTGATAAGTTGAGTTGTATGTTGATAAGTTGAGTTGTATGTTGATAGGTTGAGTTGTATGTTGATAAGTTGAGTGTATGTTGTTAAGTTGTGTTGTATGTTGATGAGTTGTAAAGTTGTGTTGTGTTGCAAGTTGATGTTGAGTTGTACAGTTGTGTTGAGTTGCAAGATGATATATTGAGTTGAAAAAGTTGAGTTGTGTTGAATATTGATATGAATTGCTGTAGGCCATAATGGCTGAGTTGTTGTAGGCCATAATGG